CCCCCCCCCCCTCGGCCCCCACCCCACCCCCAAATGTAAGCACTCGGAATCCAGTCGGCTCTTTATCCCTTTCAAAATCAATTTGGGCCTTCAGTTCTCTTCCCACTTCGTGACTACGAGGCCTAGGCCACACCTGTATCCTGACGAGGGTATACAGACTAGCATTCGCCCTGGTCAATTATGCCTCTGGAGGCAGCATCTAGACCGAAGAGACTTGAAAAACGCGACAGGACAAAGCGGGCTTGCAACAGATGCAAGACCCTCAAGCAGAGGTGCGATGGCTGCCGTCCCTCATGTGGCTCCTGCCAGAGAACAGAAGAGAAGTGTATTTATCATGCCAGAGGCGTGTGAGTACCCGCGTCAAACATAGGTGGAAAGGGGAGGGCCGCCTTACTAACCCTCAGTACCCAGGTCTCGAGAGGTTGTGGATCTTCTGTCAAGTGTGGAGAGGAGACTGGAAAAACTCGAACAGCACCAGACTGCCCCCTCAAAGACGGTCAACTACTATTCAACGCTGCAACCTCATTTCGAAATCCTCGGACAACTAACCGACAATGACACGGGCATCTTTAATCCCGGTTTCCAGGCCACGGTTCCCGCAGAGATTTCCGTCTCCGCCTTAGTCGCGTGTATCAATTCCGTGTTCGAAGGGATGGACGGTTTTCCTTTCTTCTTCAGACACCTCTTCCAGTACGGGGGACTGTCTAAGGAAGTATGCCTTGGCCTTTTTCCGGCGGTGTCTTCAAATTTGGACTCTATTCTTTTCTTCGGGAACCTGACCCCCGAACAGCTTCTTGTCCAAGCGATGGCTCTCAAATACAACGCGGCCATCACGCGAAGCCGGGAGCTGGATGAGAAAGCGGATCTCTCCTTCCGGGGCGCGCTCGAAAAGATGTGGGTGGTACAACCCTCGCAGAGTTTGCAAGCTCTGTCGTGCAGATTTTTGTTCGTGGCCATGCTCCTGTACCTGTATGGGAGACCTCACGAGTCTCTACTCGCCCTGCAAAATGTCTTAAACCTGCTTCATGGAGTTCTTTCACAACGCTTTGAGGAACCGTAAGAGCGCGTCGAGACAAGGTTGTCTGTTCCCTGTTGCCTAGCTGATGATTGCCGATAGTACGTCCCTTTCTCAGCTGGAAGCCTGTTCCCTCCAGTACTTTATCCTGGAAATGTATGTCATCCAAAGCATCTCCATCCGGATCTTACTTACTTTCCTACTAGCGATGTACTGAGCGTAACAGATGGGATGGCCTCAGGATCTCTCCGAGCCTCCGTCGTCGCGGCCGCAACCACCCCTCTTAATTTGTCCACGAACGGACCGATTGCAGTGCCGGTGGACCACCCGGGGTTCCGAGAACGTCTGGCGCACTTGGAGCTGAGAGCCTGTATGGACACTATTCAGGCGTACAATCTCGGACAGACCTATTCTTCTCCCCAGCAAGACGTAGCGATCGTCAGCGAGGTTCTTGAACGCTTGGATCGGTGGCATTCAGCCCTTCCCGGAAACTTGAAGTTTCCTCGGTATCCGGACACTTTCGGCCCGGCGTCTACCGATGTGACGGCAGACGCTATGGTAAGCAAGGAAGCCCTAGACCTCTGGAACTTTCTCACACAGCTAGGGTGAATTGGGACTGCAGTTCTATGCAACCAAACTCCTCGCCTGCCTCCCCATATTATTACACGTGCTATCACTGTCACCTGGCTCAACATGGGAGGCGCCCATTGATAAGTGTTGCCGTGAATGTGTGTCGAACGCGACTATGCTCATCCTCCTGCACTCAAACAGGCATCAGACTAACCGGCATGGATATTTGGACAGTTGGATTAGCTTTCAACGTCTGGTCGTGGCTTATGTATCTATTCTTCGGGTTCGGACGTCAGCAATGTCTGACCTCTTCGCAAAGCATGGATACCCGGATCAGTTACTCGATTGTGTCGAAGACATCCTCAAATGTGCCGTAGACAGGCGGGCGATCGCGAGCGAGGTGTTGGCTTCCCTGAGAGGCGCCCGGAAAGCCCTCTCCAAGAAACGCAACTCGCCCTCTGGTCGTTCATGACGGCTCTCTTTGGTCTATGTCCCCTCTCGCCGGAATGTATCCTTAGTCGTGGGCCGGCGGCATCGATGGAATCTGGACAGGAGAGACGAGTTAGATACCGAGTGAAGTCGGGACGCGTAGGACGACGCCCTCTGGCTGTTGTCGACATCTACTCAGATATCTGCCGCCGGGACTCCCCACATTAGTCTCGAACAGCCACCGGCGGCGAGTCGAACAATGGCTGTTTTTCCGTTTCCTTCTTTGGCTCTCGGCGGTAAGTGAACCGAGTCGAGATTGCCCCATAAGAGATGTGTGGATACAAAGTACGTCCACCATGGTCGATTCCAATCCTTGTCGTTCTATTCGCTCATACCTTTATGGAAAGTAGAGTAAGTTGGGCACACTCGTGTCCATCATATGAAGGGGGGGGG